TATGATGTTTAAAACCCCCTGCATTGAAACTATTCTGTACCCAGAGTTCTCATGGTCAGACAGGCAAGCAAACATATCCGGCCAGCTACTACTGACAAGCTCTCCAGCACATTACACCTTTCTCAAGACCACTGAAAATTATACTTTACAAATTCAGTGCAATTCAATTCATTCAGTTTGTTTCTCAAAAGTCTAGAGGTTTGCAATTCCCAAAGCTGTTTTTGTCATGTTTTTATTTCAAAATGGATTTATGCTTTAACTAATTAAAACTAACATCTGTTAATTAAAACAGTTTTGAATTTCAAACAATAAAAATATCAGAAAATGAAACAAAGGCTTGCACTGTTATTCTCCTTAGAGTAACAGTTTAGAATAATTATGGCTTTAAGCCTGTTAAGCTATTATAACTTTCAAGAAACTCTCCCATTGGTCTCTGTCTGACCTTCTATGCCACTGGAATGCTGGCAGAAAAAGAATGTTGCTGTAGCAACTCTTATGATGTAAGCTCTTAAAATGAATAAGGCAATGATTTCACTTCAAACCAGTAAATTGCGTGCCGGCTTGTAATTGTGCCCTTTATTGACATATTGATTCTGAAGTTCACATAGGCTTCCTAGCTTTGCTTTTGAGTGATGAAGATTATTTTTTTAAGATATGTTAACATTAAGGCAAGGAAGACGTATTTACATGAAAATAAGGGAAGAACTTTGATGCTCACCATTTAAGAAAGGTGGTCAACAATAAATGGTTTTCTTTATATTCTACAATGAATCTGGAAATAGCTCTTGGATGGATAACATAGTGACATATTAAAATACTTTTGTTTTAACAATACTTACTATTTTCACATTGGCAGCTGGACCTGCTTCTCCAGCATGGACTGTTCTATGTATATTGAGCCTTTTAGCTTCCTGCATAAAAAAAAGATTTCTTTCATAAATGGCAAACCTACTATGTTAGTAAGACATTTACAGGGTAGACCAACCATGCCATCAACCAGAAAAATGGAAATAGGTCAATAGTGAGGGACTGTGAATATGGAATGTTAAGGACACTAGCCAGAAAGCTCATTTTTATTTAATTGATTATTGATTAGTTTAATTATTTCTGTTATCCTAGATAAGAACATAGTTACAAGTTATCTGTTTGTTTATGTTTCTATTTGTTTTTGTAATTGGACCTTTCAGTGTCACCACGTGCATATAAAAGCAAGTTTAGTGTCCCTATAATCAGTTCTTCGCAAGTTTTTGATTAGTCTTCATGAACTTTCGACTTTTTGATTTAAACCTTTGGCACAAGCGGGACCAATATGTGAGTAACTTTGTAACTTTGTTTTTTCTAATTTAGTTTTGCAGCTTTGGGTGAAAGTATACAAACAGATATTTTGTTATAATATGATGTATTTTGAATCGAATCAAGATTTAAAGGCAAAAATTGTGTCAGATTCAAGTGAATGCCCACTATTTAGATAAGAATGATAGGCTGTTAACCAGCCACCAAATTCTTACAATTTTTGTACTTTAATATAGTTAATGTATTGGTTTATTTGTATTGTTTTATCATCATTTTAATCTCCTTGTTGGCGTTAAGGCCTAGCTTTTTACATGCAGTTTTTTATTATGTTTTTTGCAGCATTTCTTTAGATTGATAGATCTTATTGTTTCAGTTTATAATTGTTCAATTAATTGATTGACTGATTGTGAGATTGGTCATGAATTATACAATTATTGTAGTTTGTGGATTGCTTGCAAGATTAAAGATTTGTGTAAAGGTCAACTTTGGTCTATTACATTTCAATCTCAATCTGTAAAAAATAGCCCTAAACACCTCATTGAATGTGTCTTGGGGCGACACTGCCTGAAATCTTCTGAATTAGATTTTTGGTTGCCACAAGTGCTACATGGAATTATGTCCCTCTAAATTATTATAGTCCACACTACACAGAAGTTATAATACATTATGTTATTTCACAAATATTTTGCTTTTTTAACCCCATATCTTAAAATCTAAGTTATTATATTGCTGGCAGTGCTCTTGGGCAATATCAATCAAATCCTGTGTTCTGATTGGCTACTCAAGTAAGCAAGATTGGCCCATTTTGCCTGCTTGGGATTGTCCCCTTTGATCACATACAATAAAAAAATTTACTTGGAGCAGACATACAAAGTTTATAATTTTTGGACAATATCAGCCATAGAGTTGCAAAAAGCAGCAGGAGACAGTCAGCAAACAAAGAAAACAAAAAAGGACTCCCATGGGTTTACTTTGCTAAAAACACAGTTGGCTTTCTTTCAGGTCTCTTGAAATAAACATGTCTTGATTCTTACTAAATGACAGATCTCTTTTGCCATATGATATAATAAATCCTTCATTTACCAAGCTTTTTGGGTCAAGAATTGGCTGGACATCAGCCTTGTTCTTCTTTTGCATTTTTAGTAACCTCCATTTCATCTCAGTCCATAAAAACAGAAAAAAAGAACTTGGCTACTATCCAGCCACCTTTACCTCATGGCCAATAACGCATCTATATATATATATATTGGATATATCATGATAACCATAGCCACAGACAGATGAAAAGCACAACGAGACCTTATATGCATTCACATGTCCTTCCATAGCTTGTCCTTCCCACACCGGCTCATCACCAGCAATATCAATTCCTACCACTCCCTCATTTGCAAATTCCTGGCAGAGGGACACAACCTCCATTGAACAATCTTAAAACAAACACAAATTTAATTACACACATGCATAATTAATTAGCATTAAAGAACACATCCACTTTTCTAAGGCAATGACTGAATGTCTGTTGATGTTTAGATTTCATACAACTTGGTAAACTTGTTTATTAAAAAATGCCAAGTTCTTGATTTCATAATGATACAAGAAGTTGATTTCTACCAATGTTTTCATTTGATCTTCTCAAAAAGTAATCTTAGTTTTTATGATACTTTAATGTGTTTGTAAATTTGTCTAAATCTGTTCTCGCTTAGCAATAAGATAACAGTTCATTAAAATTTGAGTAACACATTGTCAAATAAAATTTAATTCATTTCAACCCTTATTAACAATCAATGTGTTCAGGAGGTGGGGAAGGCTGGCAGCAAACCCAGAGAAAAATTGGAAGGTATTCCCACAAACCTTACATTGGGTTATCACAAACGAGAATTGCTACATGGAGGGTGAAGTGGGAAAAAGCTTAGAAGAAAAGTTTTAGCAAACTGCAAGGTGATTCCTGCAGATCAAGGGCTTTTTAGCTTCCTCTCATTGAAGTTGAAGGCCACAACGCACTATCAATGATAAATTTCTGTGTTAATTAACCAGCTGAATAAAATCTTTTAAATGTCATCTATACATTACCAGGGAGGTGACGCATACAACAGAGAATAGAACGTGCAATCACACCAAAATCTTTAGCTCCTTTTTTCAATCCTCTATTCACTGCTTCCACTATAGCTTTTGGGGACACTCTTTCCTGGTCTGGAAAGGCTGAGTTTTCTGTACAAAGGGCATGAGGACTGTAACGAACTTCAAAGTACAGGACACCACATGCTGCCTGGTCTTCACAAAATTCATATGCTATTCTCTCCATTGCTTCAGTATCATTTCTAATTTTAAAAAGAAAAGTCAGGAAAACAATCATTAACTTTCATTAGCAAGAGTAAGTACATCATTGTGCCGCTTTCAACCACTTCAAAACTCTTTAGAATCATAATCAAAGCTGAACTCAGTCAGTTAACCCTTCAACTTCCACAAGTGACCAAGACAGAATTTCTCCTCACAAAATCAACACAATATCAAGCAGGAGAGTGATGAGAATTAAGAAAAATATCATCAGGGGTTATTAGTAGATCCAATACCAGATTCTCCAGACCAACCTCATAAGAATTCTATGGCAGACAGTGAGGAGAATTATTAATGAGATCTTGAGAGTGAAAGGGTTAACTGATGTGATTACCTAATCAGTGCTGTCCACACTTTAATCATAACCATTACAAATTCCTCAAATATTATCGGTGCATTCACAGCTTCATTTTTTACCAATCATTCTGTACAGTTGTGATGGGACAGTGTAATTGAACAGTTGGCTTTAATTCAACCCCTGTAATCGGAAGTTGAAGCAGCCAATCATACTCAAGTCCACTCAGCTAATCCACCAATCACAAAAATGATCAAAATAACCATAGCAACAACTACTAATCCAAAGAAAAACTGGGGAATTTCCAAAATGGAGGAATTCTTACCTGAAGACATAGTCTCCACTGGAGATATTTGTTCTAGGTGTATTTGTTTTTTCAGAAATTGAAATGGTTATGATTAATTGGTAACAGGACTTCTTGTCATCCAATTCCATCTGTGATCATATGAGTTATTAACAAATCAGATTCCCGCTTTGCAGTTATCTGATTTTGTTAATCACTCATATGATTACAGACCCAACTGGACTACACTTGGTCTTATTACCATTATAAATAGAATGCAGTCATTGATTTCATAGTAGTCTAGTATAAGCATTTAAAGCATGACATGCAAAACCCATATCATGGAGAGGACAGGCGAGTCTTGCCAACAAGAATTGGTTCCACCAGAGAGCACTTGTTTGTGGCTATACATGGAATATGAACTTGAGAAATTGGCATGAGCAGTTTGGAAATTGTACTTTGTAGTGACTACATTCTGAGTTGTGTAATTCATGAGTTTTTTGGGTAAGATTACTGAAGATGCACCTGAGACACTTAAAGTTCTCAACATTTTCTAGGGGTGGGGGAAGGGCAAAGCATGCCTCCAAACTTCCCTTATGAATGGGACCTTCAGCCATACATCCAGTGGCTGGTTTAACAATTGGTGGGGGTGTGTACAAATGATCAAAGTTTAAAGTTAAGTTCTGGTAATGGTGGGTTGAGTTTGTGGTACTCACCGAATAAGAGGGTAAAAAATTTTGAAACATTCCAAAAAACCTGCCAAAGTTGATGGTTTGTTTAGACTAATGGACACATAGTCCTTTAAACAACTCTTGTCAAAAGAAGGTAGCTGATATTGCTTCTTCCTGTAATTACAACCAAATAAGTAAAATATTCATTTGTGGATCTAATACTTTCCCATTTATCTTTTCACTCCTAACTGTGAATTGCCACAAAGAAATCTAGCCATGTCTTGTGAAAAGCAAACCTTCAAATACCCTATGACATCAGGCCTCCCCTCCCCCCATCAGCAAAAACTTCATATCTTTTTTTTTCAAAGGGTAACGCCAAACTTAGCAGCATGTTTTGTGCCTTCAGAATTGTATTTTCTGATATTGTGTTTATCACTTCCCTAGTAATATTGACAAAATACTAGGCAACCATTTTGAAATTGAGTGCTTCAGTTACAACCACCTTGTGCTAAGTGATTATAGCAAGATATTATGCAATCTTTTACCAATCAAAGCACACGCATTTCTATAATCATCAGAGCAATTATATTATTCTGTAAATAGCCAGTCCCCTAGCAGGCAAACTGTGCCCAAGCAAGGACCTCTGCAAGGGTGACCATAAGTGCATTACTTTGCCAAATCTA